GGGTGTTATATAAGAGAATTAGGAAGGAGAGAAAGACAGAAAGGGAGAGGTCTTCGTGGAAAGAGTGAGCCTTAAAGTAAATAACTAGGGAACAAATAAAATAGCAGCGAAACTTTTATGGTTAGCAGCGAGCTTCTTGCTTCGTTCTTTTTCAAAGCTTATGTGAAAACTCTTCTTCCTGGAAGCTGCAAGGATCACAGGATCTTCCTGAAGGTTCTTAAAAGTAAAGTTTGTTGGGTAGAGAACTATAGCTTGTTTGCAACTTACATATGGTGAGATAAACGTGAGAGCAGGAAAATTAATAAAAGTAGAAGATTTTGTAATTGTGCCAAAACCATATAGTAATTGACAATTGCATCAACCTGTAAATACAAGTACTCGGATTGACTATCAAAGCACTTGATACATCCACATGCATGTACGGTACTTTTAATTTGGCACCAAAGTTTATAACAATGCCGAAATTCCAAATTTATAGACCAATATTTGTTCAACATGCAAGCATCAATGTCTCAAGAGAGTTTCCACTAGCGACACATGTGTCTGGCTAGTCATCAAGATTAGCTAGTGGGACAAGTTCCAATTTCTAAAGGGTGGAGCTCTGGCGTCGGGAACCAACTGAGATCTGTCGGATCGCTTTAATGGTTGATTATCGTCTTTGTGCTACGCATTTTTCAGCTCACTTCTGTACGTACATATACATACAATACAGCGTCCCTTAGTGTCCGGCGCGTGTACGTTTAAGACGGTGAAATGAAAGGGAAAGGGGGCAGGCTTTTAAAGTGCTAATTAATGAGATGAAACAGACAGGGAGAATCCATACATAAATATTCATCTTTGATATAAAACATGTAGTTGCAAATGGAGGAGGTTGATGGCGATGCAACATGGAAAATTTTCATTTTCATTTGTGGCATCGCTCCAACTGAAAGGAAATTTCACTGAAGTTTCCTTCCTCACTCTTTGTACGCATGTTAGAATGTGCCCTCTTATCTACTCCAGCTTGTAATGGTTAGAATATTGAATAGTAAGGATCAGAAGAGAGAAACTAGCCAGTACTCCTCTTAAGTGAATTAATTGATTAATGCTCCCTAGCTACTTTGAGAGTGCCAATGATGTTTCTAACACAGCACTAGTGATAAGAAAGGGACGCACGCTTCCTGCACGATCTTTAGCTTTAATTTTCAGAGAAAATCTTGAAACCGCGTACGGTCTATAAGTTAGTTGCATTTTCAGAGAAGGGTTAATACTGAAAAATTAATGGTGTTTCTTTAGCTTACTGATAACATTAAGAAATAATACAACTAGAAGCAGTGCATGGTTTCATGCCTTGCAAACATGTCTATAAGGGGAAAGAAACAACTCCCTCTGACGATTTCTTCACTTCTGTGGAGCTCACTTCACTCATTAGAGATTCTGAACTATATTCTTATAAGATTTTTAGCCAGTTTGTTTGGTTTTTTTTTTTATTTAATTTTTTTAAATAAAATTATTTTTTTATTTACTTGAAATTATTTTTTAATATTTTTAGATTATTTTAATATTTTAATTAATATAAAAATATTTTAAAAAATAATTATTATTACATTTCCAAACACGCAATTTATACTTATAAAGTGCTATGACATTAAATATTAAAACTCTAGTGTTGTTCATTGTGTAATAACATCTACTTGTGTAAGAGCTTGGAAGTAAATTAAGTACATGAACATGTAATATCTCATGCCTCTCCAATTTCATGTGTTTTTGAATTAATAATAAATAATAATATGGGCATTTATATTCAATTAACATGTATAACGTTATACATTCTTTTATGCATGTGACTATCGACTAAAAAACCTTTTTCTTTTAAATGAAAAGACAATTCATATTAATAAAAAATTTATTGAATAGGATTTAATAATATAAGTTGATTAAAATATAACCTTAATTTATAATCAAATTAGTGTCAATTTGAATTTACGTCAAGCAAGCGGCATAGACCGTTCCTTTGAGATAAGACACAACCTTTTGGTAATGGAGTAATCAAACTGGATCTGTTGTCTCCAAGTGAAGATATCATGTCAATGATTTGAGTTTCAAATTCTAAAAGATTTTGAAATCCTGAAAAAGTAGACGTGAGCGGCATGGATAGAGACGCTAAGCATGCTTTTGCGAACAAAAGCTCACAATTCACACTCAAAAGGTACCCACACAAATGCGTCAATTTTCCACAAAGATGCGTCAGTTCTTAAAGTTTAAGGACATGATACGTTATTAGAAAACTATGCTTGCAATTTATTTGTTTTTTTTATATATATTTAATGTATTATTTTTCTAAAGGAAAAATAGTAAGTATTAAAAGTAAATTCAAGTAGTTAAAAAATATTGCAAAAATAACTACACATTAAGTCCGAACAAGAAACAAGGATGTTGAATTCACATTTTGCATTTCCTTTAACGATATTAATGAAGTTTCATTCATGAAAAGAATAACGTTTTGACATGGTAAAACTAAGATATGCATGATCTATTGTAAAGAACATTGTCTTCTTGATGATGTGCAAAATGAAAACAACACTTGTGGAGTGTCTTTGAGATATAAGATAACTATTTCCAAAATATTTCCAACAAAAATAAATAAATTATTATTTAAAAATACTTGATCAGAAATATCTGATACATTTCATAAAGTATAAAATTAATTATCTCACGAGACACGAACATAATTAGAGTGGATAAGTGAGGGTTTTTGAAGGATTATTTGTGATTCATAGATGTAGAACAAAGATTTTGGAATCCCTCCTTTCTAATGCACATTGGTTTAAGAGGGAAATGCTTCTATTATGTTAGTTCTCTTCATATATATATATATATGAAGAGAACTAAAATAAAATTAATTTTTTTTATTAACATGAGTGTTTGGACTAATCTACATATATTTATTAATTTTATGAGCTTTTAAATTAATAATTATATAATTTTTTAATAATTTTATGAGGATTTGAATTTATAACTATTAGAAATCAAATTCAAAACTCAAAATTAATTTTTAACTTAAAAAAAGAAGAAGAAATATCTGTGATTCATGTCTGTGGCCTCAAATGCTGACCAAGCATGCCCAGTTCTTACGTCATTTCAAGTTTAGTTTTTCTCCTTTCTTTTAGATGGTTTTCAAATGAAATATACAAGTGAAGAGAAAAGGGCGACTCTCACATATTTATAATTTATTTACAAGCAAATCTAAATGGCTGGGGAGATTTATTGTGTAAAATGTACTGTGGATTTTCTTATAAAATACTGTAGATTTATTGTTCACAGTTTTATTTCATCTCTTGTTTTATTTAGATCTTATAGGACTAAATTGTAGGTTAATATAGGCTAATTTATTAGGAGATGGTAAAATTGAAAAACAAGAGATCAAAGAAAAAAAATGAAAGAAATGAGTGGTTTTTTTGGACTTTAAGGTGAAATACCCATTTTAACCTTAAAACAAAATAAAAAAACATGTTATTGGAGATAATTTTAACCTTAAAACAAAATAAAACATACCCATTATTGGAGATAATTTTCACAACAATCCATTTGTAATTGCCAAACTTAAAAGGGGGTAATTAAGCCATTTTTTTTAAAAAAATTATAATACACAATAAAATAATTATTATATTTTTAGATTCAAATTTTTTTTAAAGTTTATGTTCAATGGTGTTTTCATCTTTAATATTTTTATAGAATACTAAAATGACTTCCATATCTTTAAAAGTGGATTTTATATAGTTTATGTTCTTGGACATTTTTGTATTTGCACTTATGATTTTTTTTTATTAATATCAAATTTAGGGATAATTTTATAATTTAATATATATACAAATATTATTAAAAACTTTATACATTTGGGCAACCCCACCTTCATTTAGATAATAGGTGCATGGTCATTCGATGATCAAATATCATTTTTCATGGCTAAATTTGAATTGGCTCAACGTCCTCTCCTTGAGGAGATAATGAGTATGTCATATGAGTATTCAATTTAGTATTAATGATCTTTTTTTCTTACACCTTATTTTCTCTCCTTTTAATTTTCATGTTACTTTTTTAAAATTTCAAAGTAATCCATTAATTTTAATTTTTTAGGATTTGGTTTTTGTTTTTTTACTGTTTTTTTTATTTAAAATAATTTATAAAATTAAACTTTGTTTTTAATTTTGCATCTTATATTTTTTTCATCTTTTAAATTTGATCTCAATTCTTTTAATTTCAATATGTTTTATCTAAGATCATTTTTTTTTTATAATTTCTTCCTCATATTTGTTTCATACTAAACTTGATTTTCACTTTAATTTTCTTTTTGTTTCATCCTTAACATTAAATTAATTTAGAGTTGAGCTTATTAATTGAAGAAAAATCTAAGATTTTGATGAGATGCGAGTTTCATATATTAACCCGGGTTCAAGAAGTTCATCTGAATTGTCTTGTTTTTCTTCTTCTTTTTTTATGCTCATCTTTTTTAGTTTCATACTTTAATATTTATTCAAATGGAGATCGAGCTCTATTATTTTTATTTATTTATTTTAAATAGAATTTTTTATTAATTGAAAAAATAGCTTGAATTATCTTAATTCTTTCTATTTTTTATTTTTTGTTAAATTTACTTTGATAATTTCTTAAATTGATTTTTTTTTTAATTTTATCATTCAATATTAAACTAGTTTTAATTTTTTTTAATTTTACCATTAAACATTTGATTGTTTAATAGTTGAGCTTCATAGTTTTATTTAATTCACTTTTATTAATGACTTTTTTATTTTTTATTTTTTACTAGCATGGATAATTCTTTGATTAAATAAAAAAAGTATTGTAAGAAAAAAATTATGAAACAAAACTGAGTATATGAACTTTATTATGAGATAAAATATCTTAATTTATGTTATTTTTTGATTTGATTTTGATTAAATAATTTAATGTGCATTAAAATATTTCAATTTATGATTAATTTTGTTATATAAAAAATATATTGAAAAAATTTATATATTTATATATTTTTTAAAAAATTATATGATACCCAGTAAACACAAGGAACATATTTAGTAGTATTTTAAACGTTGACAATATAATTGTGTTGTCTTGTCGAATTCTTCTAGCAGCTGTCCTGTCCTGGTCAAAAAGAAAAAAGAAACGAAAAGACCCTCCTGATTGGTGTGGGTAAGATGGACAAGTAATGGCATGATTTAAAATCCTTGGGCTTGTGCTTGAGGTTTATCTCTTGCTACATAAATGTAAATAATTTCGGGTATGCTTGAGGCTCATTTTCTTACTTATATAGTTTATGTCTTAGATTAAAATCTTTCTTTGGACTGTTAGATATATAATTCCAATACAAAACTTTCTTAAGTTTTTATACCTATAATTTAGCTTCTACAATTTACTGTTAATTATACTTAATCTTTATATTTAATTTAATTTTTTTTTATATACTTTCTTTATGGCTTTATACTATATCTTTCATGCATTTATTTTATTTGTTACATAATTTATTTTTCATGAAATTTACTTATTGCTTTATTTGATTGCTTTCTTTGCTATGCAATTTAATCTTTTATTTTTTTCTTGCAAGTTCCATGATCGATGTGAATTCTTTATGAATTTTTTTATTGCATAAAATCTTCACTAGATGTTACTTGATGTGGATTTTATAGCTTTGGGCTTTAGAACGTGGCTAAATATCATGCTTATGTGTTGTTGTGGGTTTGTAATATGCCTGTATGTTATCATTAACTTATTAAAAAATATAAAAAAATTATATGAAAAAAACTGTTATAATTTATAATGTAGAAAAAAACTATAATGATAATTTAAAAAAACATAAAAAAATAATGTAAAAAATATTGTAGCAATATATAGTGTTTTGTGATGAAATATATAGCTGTAATTCTCAATCAACTCAATATAAAATAAAATAAAATTGATAAGAATAATTTAAAAAAAAAGTCATAACAAAAAACCTATATGGGAAATAATTGTAGCAATTCACAATATTTTTTTTTAAAACCTATATGGGAAATAACTGTAGCAATTCACAATATTTTTTTTTAAACACAAAACTAAATTCTCAAACAGCTTAATATTAATAAGATAGAAGCAACAAAGACAATTTTTTTTTTAAAATCATATAAAATAAAACTCATATAGAAAAACATTGTAGCAGTTTATAGTGTTTTGTAAAGAAATATACAGTTGTAATTCTCAATCAGCTCAATATAAAAAAAATAAAAATGACAAGG